AGCTTGAGGCTCTGTCTCAAAAAAAAAAAAAAAAAAAAAATCTGGTTTCCATTCCTGGTTCACCCCTTACTGCAACCTTGAGAAGTTACTTCACATTTCCAATCCTCACCTGACTCCACCTATAAAATGAAAATCAAGAAATCTACCTCACAGGGTTATTGTGAATAAAGATGTGTATAAATGTTCACTGTGTTGAGGGTTGTTCAGATGTGATTCTCATCTCCTTCCTCTAAGGCTACATAGGTATGTCCTTTTGATTTCCTCCTCAAAATGAACTGCTGCCTCCCACCACTGACACTCACTCCTCTAGAAACTGCAAAGGGAAGTATTCCTGGAACTTCCTTTATTCACATGTTTCCTATATGTTTTGCTTGTTTGTTTTTGAGACAGAGTCTCACTCTGTCACCCTGGTAGAGTAACATGGCATCATAGCTCACAGCAACCTCAAACTTGGGCCAGAGAAATCCTGTTGCCTCAGCCTTCCAGGTAGCTGGGACTATAGGCGCCTGCTACAATGCCCAGCTAGTTCTTCTGTTTTTAGTAGAGACAGGGTCTCACTCTTGCTCAGGCTGGTCTTGACTCCTGAACACAAGCAGTTCATCCACCTCAGCCTCCCAGAGCACTAGGATTATAGATGTAAGAGCCACCACGCCTGGCTGTGTTCTTATTTTTTTTTTTTTTTATTCCCTTCCCCTGCCCTTGTTTCCTATATGTTGAGTAATAGTTGAATTACTCAACTAATAGGAGTGGAATATCACTTAAGCTGCTTTTGGCTACAAGTAATAGATTACTTCCATCAATCAGGATCTCAATAAGAAACAACACACTTAGCCAGGCATTCTGGCGAGTATCTGTAGTCCCAGCTACTTAGGAGTCTAAGGCAAGAGAATCATTTAAACCCAAGAGTTGGAGGTTGCTGTGAGCTGTCATGCCACAGCACTCTACTGAGGGTGACATAGTAAGACTATATCTCAAAAAGAAGAAAAAAAAAGAAACAACACACTCAGATTAAGATTAGTTGAGGAGACTATTATATAAGAACTCTTTACAAAGGTGTGGCATCATAGTGGAATCAAGGGACTTGTATCAGCAGGACTGTGTGATAATAGCTCCTAGGCCCAAAGAGAGAGGAAGCAGTTTCTAGAACCTGTAAGGAGACTCCTGATAGAGAAGGCTTTTCAGAGACAAGCAATACCCCTCTGTCAAAGGGACACAGCTAGACTGAGGTGGCCCTGCAGGGAGGGAACTAGGGAAGAAATTACCCTGCCCTCACTTCCTCCTTTCAGTCTTCTTCCAGGCCTCCCCAGTAGTCAAACCCTGTAGAAAGTCAAAAAACAAGGAGGCCTTTTGTTGTAATCCATAGATCAGCATTTGTGGAGGAGACCAGGGTAGAAACGCTGAAGAGTAGGCCTGCAGAGGCAAATAAAAGATGTCTGGCCCAACACCCAGCTACAAGTAGTTTAAAAAGTTAGACCGGCTCGGAGCCTATAGCTCAACCGGCTAAGGCGCCAGCCACGTACACGTAAGGTGGCGGGTTCGAATCCCCAGCCCAGACCCGCCAAACAACAATGACGGCTGCAACCAAAAAAAAAAATGGCTGGGCGCTGTGGTGGGCACCTGTGGTCCCAGCTACTTGGGAGGC